CGGAACTCCCCCCCCCCCCCGGGCGATTGCGTCCCCCCCCCGCTTTGGGGGTTCTTGTTGGGGTGGCACAAAAAATCTATAAAAACGTACAGCTGGGGGTGGGTTTATAAGAGAGAATTTCTCCACTCTCTTCTTCTGTTTCTAGAGTGTGTGTCACTCAAAAATTTTTTGTGCTGATGCTGATGGGGTGGGGGGGGGCGAAGAGCGTAGGAGAGACGTACGTAGCGTAGCGTAATCTCATGCCCGCCTTTACCGCTCTGAGCTGACCCCCAAATTTCTCAGCAAAAAGCTGGCTGGAAAGGGATGCCAGATGTTAACAGTGGCTGGTGGCTCCTCCTCCCCTTTATTCTCCTGTTCTCTCTCTCTCTCTCTCTCTCTCTCTCTCTCTCTCTCTCTCTCATTTTTTTTGTTAATCCTCACCCAAAGATATTTTTTTCCATTGATTTTTAGACATAGTGGAAGGGAGGGGGAAACACAGAGAGAAACATCAATGTGAGAGAGACACATCGATAGATTGCCTCCCCAACTCACCCCACCTGCTGTGACTTTGACCAGAATCGAACCTGGGACCCTTCAGTCCAAGGGCCAAAGCTCCAACCACTGAGCCAAACCAGCTAGGGCTCCTGTTCTCTCTTTTCCAACTTTACACACATCCTATATAATAAAAGGCTAATATGCAAATTGTCCCCTCCACTGGAGGTTGGACCAGGTGGCAGGCTGGCCAGCCAACCTCTCAGCACCCCCCCCAACCCCCGCCCTGCCCTGCGAGATAGGCCTGACGGGGCAGGCCAGCCGGACCCCACCCGTGCCCGATTCCTGCCCAGGCCTCTAGTTACTAATAAAGTGGGAAATATAAACACTTAACTAATAAAGTGGGAAACACATACGTTATTTTTCAAAATGACATTGAGGGAACGGCACAGAGGCTCAAGCCTCCCACCCCTACCCCACTGTCTAAAGATACCCTCAGGGGCTGGGCCAGGTTAGCAGGGTCCCGGACCCTGTGGCTCTGCCACCCCAACCACAGGGCTCAGTAAAGGAGTAGCAATCAAGAAGCTCTGCCAGTTCCAGACTGGAAATGGCGCCTCCCGGCGGGCAGTGCCCCCAGAGGCGGACAGTCTGTCCCTCAGAGGGTTAATCCTGTCTCAGAAATTCACAGGGAGGCCCAGGAGGGGAATTTCCCAGACAGGCAGACAGACAGACACCTCAGACCGCTCCCGCCACTAAGCACAGATGTTTGCCTGGGGTGGTGAGAGCCTTCACAAGCGCACCGGTTTGCGGTGAGAGGAAGCCCAAAGCCAGAGACGAGACCCGCCTGGGCAGGCTGGGGGCTGCGGTGGGGGAGGGAACGGGGTGGGCTGGTCTTCAGGCCGAGTCTCTGGGCATCTCCCTGTTGCCTGTCTGGGTCCCGCAGTGCCTGCAACTCCCCTCTGCGTCCAGCAGGCGGCGCAGCGGCTCTGGCGTGTGGATCTGCAGTCTGCGCTCTGACGCTTCCAGCCAAGTTTGCTGTGTAAATAGTGGTTTGTCTATTTCCCCTACTGGTCCGGAGGCTCCCCCAGGGCAGGAATGTTATCTTAGTCGCCGCCTTACCTTCGAGGCTAATTACAACACCCGGCCCCTAATGGGTGCCCCATTAGGTCTGAAACACGACCCCCAAACACAAAGATATATGCATAGAAGAGTAATGAGATCAAAGCCTGCAGTGAGAATGCTGGGGAAAGCGCCAGGCCGGGGAAGGAGGCTCCGTGTTCCGTTCGTGCTTCCAGTCCCCCCCCCCCCCCCCCCACACACACACCTTTTTTCCACCGAGACGCAGGCAGGGCGGGGAGCCGCCGTGGCCCCGCCGGGTTCGGCGGAGCGAGCCTGAACCTGCCCGACCTAGCAGCGCAGCCGAGGGACCCGACGCGTTCCCGCCCTGCAGTCCCATCAATCAGAGAAAAGGGGGAATGTGCCCCGAACCATCTCCTCCAGGGGGCAACCCTGGGCTACCCTCTCTGTAGAGCTGCCATCACCCCTCCGCTCCCCTCCTGAACCCCTCTCTCCCGTGTCTTTTCAGAGCAGGAAGTGGGTAGAAGTACCTTAACTCAACAGTGATGTCACCCACTCAACAGACAATTATTGACCTGCTACTAGTGTGCCCAGTGCCGTGCCAGGCGTGGGCAGTGCAGCAGGACACCAAACGCCCTGCCCTCGTGGCGCTTCGATTCCGTGGGACACAGACGGGATAATCTCTCGCTGGGCACGTGGGAGGCCGACACCCAGGTGACCTCCCAGGTGAGTAAAAAGCGCGTGAGGCGCCGCCCTGGAGATGGTCGGCGGATAGACTTCGGCCCCGGCAGGAGGGGCGGGCTTCGGGTCGGTAAAACGTCGGGCTGGGCACGTCTCCTGGGGCAGGAGCGAGCCAGGGGGTGGAGGCGGGGGGAGGGGGGAAGGCGCGCAAAGCTAGGTCTAGACTCGACCTTAGTAGGCAATGGGTAAATATTTACTGTCCGCCCGGCACGTCCGACCTCACGCACTTGCGCCCCGAGGGGAGGGCGGGGGGGGGAGCCAGCCGGGGCCCTCCTCCGCCCCAGGCCCCTCCCCGCGGGGGTCAGTGCAGGACTAGACTTGGCGTCCGGGCCCTGAGTAATTACAGGGGCTGTCACCAGCCCTGGCCGTAAAAGAGAAGGATGAAACGGCTTGGGAACCGGGGAAGCGGGGCCCGCGCCGGCCGGCGGGGAAGGGGGAGCCGGGAGCCTGCGGCTTCCCGCGCTGCGCAGCTGCGTGGAGGGCTGGCCAGGGTGCGCGCACACTCACTCCACACCTACCGGGCGCGCGCACCAGCCGCCGGGCGCACAGCACTCGGCCCTTCCCCGCAGACACGCCGGCCCCATCCAGCACCTGCGCGGCCGTTCCTCCCCGCGAGCTGGGCGGCAGACTCCCCTTCATACTATTATAGACCCTTGCGAGGAGCGTCCCCCCCCCCTCCCCGCAGCACCAGCGAATTCCAGTGGGTTTGTTTACGGGGCGCGGGGAGGGGGCCGAACTGGGTTCTGGAGCCTGATGATTCGGAGACCCAACTGCCCAGCCCCGGGACGCCACGTAAACACTCCTGCCCCCTACCCTGCCCCACACCCCCTGCTGGCCTGTGCACTTTGCCTTCCTCTTCGTACAGCATTAGCAAACACACGTCCAAGTTTCACACGCCCCCCCACCCCCACCCCAGACGCAGCTGTGGCGGATCCAAATGCTTTCACCCTCGCACACCATCACAGGGGTCTGACATGCCAGATGCACGTGTGTGGTTAGTCGCTCTTCATGCTCAGATTCTCACCGTCCACATTCAGAGCCCATTCCACGGCGCACACGTGTGTTCACACACACGCACACGCGCGCACACACACACACACACACACACACGCCAAAGGGCGCACTAGAAGCAGAAGCAAACCCTATCGCGGGCCCAGGATGCGCCTCCCCCTCTCACGGGCACAGAGGTGCGCCCTAACCCCCGGCCACACACGTTACACACTTGGTCACTCGGGGTCACACTTGATTCCCGGCATCTAGGCGATGACACAATCTCCCGAACAAAGACAACATTGACAAACCCAACAAAAACAAACAGCCGCGTATTTGAGGAGGGGCAGCTGAGCGCAGCCCGGCCCTGGGGGGTGGCGGGGAGAGTGTGGGAACGCGGGGAGCCGGGGAGGGGCAGCTCGGGAACCGTGCGGGACCTGTCAACCACCTGGCACCCGGCAAGATCCGCGCGCTGCGCCAAAAAGCCGGGTCTCGCCCCCGCGTGTTCCGCAGAGCTGCCGGGTTCCCCTCTCCGCACGCGCTCTGCGGGGGGGGACACAGACCCAACCACCCCGAACAGGCCCAGAAAGCGGCTCAAAGACCCGCGAGTGAGCGCACACGCAGCTCGGGGGGGGAATGGCCCCCGGGGGGCAGTCGCGCTCTCGGCTCCCCTCGCCGGCGCTCCCCTCCTCCACCTCCCCAGTCCCCAGGCCCCAGGGCAGCAGCGCGCCGGGCGGGGCGGGGGGCGGGGCGGGGTGTCGGGCGGCGCTGGCCCAAAAGGCGGAGTCCGGAGGCGCTGGAGCCAAATCGGTGAGCCCTGTGCCGACTGCGAAATCTGAGTGCTGAGCCGACTGCGCCGGGGAGAAAAAAGCCAGTGGGAACCCGGACCCTGACGAGCCCCTCGCCCCCGCCCGGCCTGCACGGGCCCCGCGATATGGAGTTCCTCTGGGCCCCGCTCCTGGGTCTCTGCTACAGTCTGGCCGCTGCCGACCGCCACACCGTCTTCTGGAACAGTTCAAACCCCAAGTAAGCCCGAGTCTCCGGCCCACAAGGGCGTCCGGTGGCACTGCCCCTGCACCCAGGCTGACCCCAGGCTGACTGTTCCAGCCAGCCCCTGACTGGAGTCCTGGGGTGCCGACCAGAGGCGGGAGGGATTCCTAAATGTGTTTCCCCCACTTCTCCCCCAGACCTGGGAGGAGGCCACCCAGGGTAGGAACCTGCCCGTGTCTGCTTCCTATTTCTATTTCTATTTCTATTTCTGTCCCTCCTTTCCTTCCCGGTGGCACCTCTCCTCCGAAGCGAGGCACCCATGCTGAACTGACCCTGCCTCCCGCACGGACCAACCACCCTCCCTGGCCACCAGGGCCCTTGCTGCCGGTCCCCCCACCACCAAAGCCTGTGCCCCTCTCCTTGTCTGTCACTTGGGCATCTGCCCACACTGACAGGTACCTGGTGTGACACCAGGAGGAAGCCGAATGCTCGCTGTAATCCCAGAAGGACCCCTCAGGAGGGGCCGGGGCTGCGCCATTAAGGTTCATTCTGTACCTAAGGGGATGGTGGGAAGTTCCCCACCAAGGGATCTTTAGCGATGACAGGAGTGAGGCACGCGCTGTGGGTGAGCAGGGGAAGGTAGTCATCTGTTTACGAGGCTCACGTAGTAAAACTAAAGAGATGGGGGAGGGAGGTCATGGGAAAGGTTCAGACGGCATGGAAGGGGTTATAAGGTTACCCAGGAAGATGACGCAAGGGCAGGGT